GATTACGAACTGACAGCGGTGGTATTCTTCTTGTCATTTAGTATCAGTTACAATGCTTGAAATGGTAAGTATGCATATGCAGATTGCGTATTCTGTGTCGAACGTGGAGGTTCACTTTCTGTAACTCCCTACAATTAGGCCTAATCCCTGTCCATCCTGTATGTTCTCACTTATTCGGTGCACATTCTGAGCTTGGTATCGAACAGCGATGTTCGCTTCACTTTATTTCGCCACACGATGATGATGAAGATAATAGGGATAATTATGGTGGACGCCGTCCCGCCTTCAAACCTTTGAGATTAGGTTATTATCGCATTTGTGCACATCCAAACGGTCAGACTTTCTTCGTTAATTACGTGTGGGACTGTTCAAGTTCAGTCAGACAAAATGAATGCTGGGGTAACGGTAACTCTACTATTGATGCTACTATTATCTATATCAAGTAAACATTCATTTTTACGCTTCGTTCTGTTGTTTATTGCACCCATTTGTGCTGAACAGCAAAAGAGGCAGGCCCCATATTCACAAGGGTGGACTGTTCCTTCAGTCATGACGACCGGTAACCTGAGCCCTGGATGAGTAAACTGCATAGGAGCTTTTTAACATAGGCGTGGCATCGAGTCAGACAGCATAAAAGTTACCCGCTATTAAAACGTTAGGTGGTGGTGTCAGGATTCAAACCTCGTACCGAAAGCGCGCTAGCAATTAAAAATAAAAATTCTCATAAACGGAATCGCCCGACTTAACAAATTCGTTAACTTGGAGCTACCGAGAGGAAGACTGTACCCTAGTCAAAGCACATCAGTGTGTTGTGGTCATGCGTATACAAACAGCTTGTTGTTACGTTGTGCCCGATCAATAATTGTTTTGTCCAATTTCGTGTCATTTTCTACTCACAGTTCGAACCACACCTGATGGCTTGGAGCCCGGATACTGCAACGAGGCTGTGTTTGGCTGATCCGGCTCATCCTACGGCGGATATTCAACTATGGGATCTTCGTTATCCAAAACATATGTTATCTCTATTGGGCCGTTGGCCACCACCACCACCTCCATCCTCAGAAATCCAATGGAATGCCAGTAGCTTGGGAAATGCGGGAAACGTGAACGCATTGACCTGGTCCCCAGCACCACAGTCTGCTAAGTCTCACCCCGCTTTGATGTTGCACGATCCCGATTTGATAGCTGTTTCTCTAACCGCATCTGGTGCCTTACCGACAACCGGTGGAGGATGCGGTTCAGGATTGGAGCCGACCAGTGCTGACTTCCTCGTTGTTTGGAGTGTGAAGGAGGCCCTGAAATGTGTTCAAGCAGAGGCAGCATCCGGATATCCGAACGGTGGGTGGATTGCTAGCTAATGATCGGTCGAGACACAGTGTTGTGCCTATCTCTGATTGAAAATGCCCGAGAAATGGCTTGTAATCGGGCACGGTTTCAGCTCAGTTTTTACAATCGTCCACCTTGCTCCGTCTTTAAACGATTTGGTTGTTTTTTGGCCGATCATCTGAACGAATAATGGTGAAACAGATGGAATAATTAGAAGGCCGAAATTCGTACCCAGGTTAATATTGAGACTTCCGGTAGGATAAATTTTCGAGGAAATTGAATGAGTGCACATCCGGCGCTGTTTCCGACATAAACAAGTCACTCAGTGTTTCTAAACCATCGATTAGACTGATCCTAAGATCCCAAACCAATTAGCCTAACGCGACCTATAAGACAATCTTCTGGTTAGGGTTTTCATACCCTTATTCTAGCTTTTAATTTGACCAATCATTACTGTTTTATATCCCCTACCTGCTTCAAAACGCATCGCATTTCGTGAAATCTTATCCTGTGACATACCCCAACCGATGTACTCAATGAAAGACAAGCACTTGCTCCTGTTTTCACAGGTCCGTGTCACACCCACCGTCAACCATCGATCGTAGTGTTCCTTGGCCTGAAAGAAGCCTTCAACTCAGTTGACCTCGACGCTCTGATGAGTTCTCTTGTTCAAACGGGAATATCCCAGTACAGTAACTTACTGAGGCCACTGTACCCACATATTTCTTCTGATCGAGTGAGGGGTTAAAACGAACTAAATAGACCGTTCTTCACCATCAGCGGCGTTCGTCAAGGATGCCCTCACTCTCCATTCCTGTTCGATTTCTTTGTGGACGAAATTCTGGAGACCGCACTAAGCGGTCTCCAAAACGTAGGTATTGAATGGACTGCTGGAGAAAAGCTGTGTCATTTGGAGTACGCCGATTAAATCGTCTGTCTGTTCGAATGTATGGGGGACGCGCAAAGTGCACTTGATGGACAAAAAAGTGCGGTTGCTACATTCGGTGTGTGTTGTGCACCTTCAAAGTGCAAAGTAATGCTGTATCAGGCCCGAATCCTTGAAACGGTATCTACGCACAGTTAGTTTGTGTACTCTGTGTTGACGTGAGGTTTACCATCACCTCCCTCTCTCAAAGTAGGTTCAATCCCTCTCTACCTCACCGCTGACATTGTATGCATTGCAAGTTTAGCAGCGATCAGTAAAGTTCGCTTCACTGTATTTCGCTGTACGGTAGTGATAATCGATGCGGTGTAGACAGGGGTGTCCAAACACTGATTTGAATGGTGTGAATCGGTCATCTTAACGATTTACAAGAAAGGTAACAGATCCTCCTGTGAAAACCACAGAGGAATTAGTTTAATCAACATTGCTCCTAAACTTCTCGCTGGCATCATACTCCGACGATTGTTTGCCGCACGTGAACGGTGCACGCGTGAGATCCAGGCTGGGTTTAGACCCGGTCGAGGTTGTATCGACCATATATTCACTCTTCGCCTAACTCTGGAGCACTGACATTCTTTTCGTAGACCCATCATCTCTGTCCTCCTCAATCTGAAAGCGGCTTTCGACTCAGTAGACCGCTTTAAACTCTGGCGCTGCCTTTCCCTGAAGAGTGTGCCCGAGAAATTTATTTCAATATTACCATCCCTCTACACTAATAGCCGAAGCCGAGTTCGAGCTTGCGGCACTTTTTCACCCGAGTTCACCACGGAAAGGGGTTTTCGTCAAGGTTGCCTTTTTTCCTATTTAACTTCGTTATAGATTTAATTATGGAAACAGCCCTATCCTCGTGTGAGAATAGTGGCATCGGTTTGCTCTCAGATGTCAAACTGTCTTATCGGGAATATAAAGACAACATTCTGCTGTCAAGTGAAGATCCAGGTAAGTTGCAAGCTTTTCTGAATGGTTTGAGTGTTAGTATATCTACGTTCGGTATGTGTTTTGCACCTTCAAAGTGTAAAATGCTACTAGAAGACTGGGTTGGTCCAGCATTCAGCCTCATTAACCGGTGAAGTAACAGAGCAAATGGATATGTTTTGTTATTTGGGCAGCCGCCGCCACATCCGGTTTTCTGTGAAGGGTCGAGTGCATGCCGCGGCAGTTTGGCCAGTTCTGCTATACGCAGAAACTTGGACATTCTGTAAACAGGATAAAGATAGACCGTCGTTGTTTAATCACTGCTGTCTACGCAACATTGCACGAGGCTAGTGAGTTAACCGAACGTGCAATGCTGAGGTTAGGCGCAGAGTATTAGGTAAATGGGGTCGCCCACTGGAGCATGTGGTCAATCTCCGTAGATTACGTTGGTTGGGATATGTGTTACGCATGTCACCAGATAGGTTGCCACGGTGAGCGATGTTTGCTGAGGCAGGTAGTGGGTGGAAAAGAGTCAAGGGCGGTCAAACCAGGACCTGGTAGGAGTGTATGAAAACCTTTACGAAGAGACTCGGCCACATAGGTCCCGTTTGGCTCCCTGGCTGGAGACCTCGGGACGACCGTAATCGATGGTTAGAGACACTAAATGTTGTAAACAGTGGCGTTCGTGTATCTTCCCAATTTCTTTGCAATCTTAGTCCATTGAAATTGCCCATTTTCTTTCGATATCTACTCCTTCAGCCTTCCAATCTCTCTCCCACTGTTCATCCCAATGGACAGCAACCAAAACCGGCGCACAAAAGTGCGTGGTTAATGGTTGTACAAACTGAAACTGAACACTGATGGTGTCTTTATCCAGTTTTCTTCGCGGTTAACTCTTCGCACCTTAAAGTAGCACTTTTCAAGCTGCTGTCTATAAGTGCAACGAAATTTCCAAGCTATGTGAACAGGCGAAATGGAACATAATGGATATGTATGCCTAAATATTCCATTTCACCTATTCGCCGAGCTTGGCAATTTGTTGGCAAACGTTTCATCATCAGTCGAGGTGACATCATCAATGCTTGTGAAGTGGCCACTTCATGTATTTACGAATGCTCTGGAGCAGTTGAGATAGATTATTGTAGAAGTCGTTCTGCTTATCAGGTGCACTACGATCCGTCGATGCATACATGGACACGATAAATAAGCAGTGACACTTCATTCGGTTGCTGTTGATCTGACCCCGAACCGTCAAGCCTTTACCATGCGTAGTCGACCACTGAAGTAAGTGGTCAACATTGCCTCAGTACAATCTCGAAATTCGAAATACAGGGAGCTTCAGGTGTCCAGTCGCCTTATTCCCGAAGAGTGAAGTTTAAGGGTAAAATTGGCTTGGAAAGATGTAGGGTGGTAATCAAAGTAGGACCTTGCATGCGATTTTGGAGACAGCATACATCTACGTTGAGGATTTTAAGGGTTCTGGCTAAGACGGTTTTTTGATCCATTTGTTATAGTTTGCGGATATTGATTGCTGCTTGGTGAAGATGAGATCTAATTTTTATTAATCTCTTAGCTTCTGATTTACTACTAACTAATCAAACATGATATCACGGTGTTCAAGTTTATCGCTTAGTCCTTGATGACATCCATGGTATCCTTCACTTCTGTATTCTGATCCAGCTACACGACATCCGGTGTTTGTTGGTCGTCTTGAAGGCGGTGGCGACGAGCAGAGTGTAGCTGCCACTTCTGGTGGGATACCTAGCACCTCGGCCGTTCATTGGCTCCCCGCAAATCCGGGTCTGTTATGCGTGTCTCAGGCAGACGGGTGGATTGGAATTTACAGTTTGGACGCTGGAGCACCCGGTGACGCCACCGTTCCAACTCGTCTAATTCACAATCGTTCTGGGCATACCATTCGGACTCGACTCGCGTCGAACAAGGTGGCCGAAGCGTTTGCAGAGTTGGAAATCGATTTGCATGATAAAACTACAAAGGATGGTGACATGATCGAAACCGTTCCAGGATGGCAACAGAGCGTTGAGGACCAAAGTAATACGACCGGTGAATTGTCTGCTCAAAACTTACAATCGTGTTATCAGTTACCTCAGGTAAGTGACCCTTCCGTACTTTCTGAGAATAAATCCCGATCTCCTTCTTGTTTTATAGTTCTTAGTATATATTTTTCACACGAGTGTGAACGAATCATCTTTGATGCCACACAATTCTTCAAAATCTCTGGCCTACTTAACCATGATACACCGATTTTGACTTCCTTCAAAATGAATTGGACGCAAAGTTTTCCGTTGTTAATCCACAGAGTTAATCTCACATCTCATCTTATCAAAAACAGTCATGGTATTTCATGATTGAATCCGGTCATTTGGACTGGGATCCATGCTCTCCAGTGCAGAAAACGGATGTGGTTTTCGTGAACCAAC